AGTGAGTGACTGTCGAGTGTGATACATGATACTGCACTGTTTATTGACTTTACTGTGAATAGCTTGTATGTGGTTTCTCCAGTTAAGTTTCTCATCAACAATAACTCCGAGGAATTTAGTATTTTGTTTCGCGTTTGAGGACTGTATTACCAAGGTACAGGGGGGTCCAAGTCTGGGGGTAAGTTTTTCCTTCTGTGAAAGATCGTGTAGTGGGTTTTCTCAAGGTTTAAGGTCAGTTTATTACGTATTACCCAGGTCCTGACTTTAGTCAGTTCAGTGTTTATAGTTCTCATCAAGGAATGGAGGTCTGAGTTGCTGGCATAGAGATTACTATCGTCTGCAAATAAGTTGTATTTTATGAGTGTGCTGGCGTGGATTATGTCGTTTATGTACAACAAAAGCAGTAGTGGACCGAGAATGGAACCTTGGGGGACGCCATACAAGATTGACGAGGAGTCACATTGGTGATTATTATAGCAGACATACTGCATCCTGTTGGACAGATATGAGGTAAACCAATTGTGGTACAGGCCCCTAACGCCGTAATGTTCAAGCTTTGAAAAGAGGATGTTATGGTCGACAGTATCGAAGGCTTTAGAGAGGTCCAAGAATATACCGACTGTGAACTGACTGTCATCAAAGGAATTTAAAATGTCATTAGTAAAGGATAGCAGAGCACTCTCAGTCGCCCTTCTAGCTCTAAATCCAAACTGGGAGTCTGTAAAGCTGTTATTGGCATTGCAGAAGGAATTTAGTCTACTACATGCTAGCTTTTCCAGTATCTTCTTACTCGAGGCTGGGAGGACTGATATGGGGCGGTAATTCTTGAAGAGACCTTTGTCCCCATATTTTTTCGTTCCGGCAGCATCAACAAAATAAGCAGCACACATGTAGTCTTATCACTCACAAACCCATCTTATCGTATTCTTTACCTCAGATTATGCAAAGAAAGATTGTCGACATAAATCTTCTTTACGATATTATGCTAGTTTCGTCCTCACCACACGAGCGATGTATTTGCGCACTCTAATTTATTTTTGAATCACATACAAGTATACATATACACACAGTGCCGGATTTAGACCTGTGGAGGCCCAAGGGCAGCCTCTTTGTGGAGGCCTCCCTCATTATAACTACCCAAGAGGGTGGGGTGGCGAGCGAAGCGAGCCTAAACATCTGGGAGTTCCGGGGGGCGCTGCAAGCCCCCCGGGAAAATTTTGAAATTTGAACACTTCTTTGGAGAATTTCGAAGCTATATGCAGTTATATCGAGGAAATTAGAACATTGAGAAATTTTTAATTCACTGTATATTTATTCATAGTGTACAAATTCCCAACACACACACACACACAAAATTGAGACATGACTGGAGTCATTCATGTGGTTTCAAGTCGACCAGCCCTGATATGTGGAGGCCCCCAGATTGTGGAGGCCCCTGGGCAGCTGCCCACTTTGCCCACTCCTGAATCCGGCCCTGCATACACATACACACACATATAATGCAATTAAAAATAAACACGAAAGTAAGTTATATACAGTACATTGTAGCCTAATACTGAAATATTTATACGAGAGATATACAATACGAGTCATTATTCATACATTAAATTAACACATCGTCAGTGGTTGTCGGACGCACAATACTTTATGCTGGTCATCCATAGCAACACACCTTCCTTCTCCCTCTCCCCCGCTTTCTATAACACACTCCCCACTTCCCCATCATGGCTCCCGGGTAGAGATTAACAGCAGCAGATGGGGGTGGGGGACTGGACTGAGATGGAAAGTAGTCGGTCGGGTTGAGATGGAGGTCAAGCAGGTAATGGTAGAGGTACCCGCAGGACGGCTCCCCCCCCCCCTCCCTAATGCCTTACTGGGAAGGTCGGACCATATTGTTTTCTTTTTAGCCCACCGCTCTCCTCCTCACCTACATCTACGAGTATTTACTCATGACCAGCGCTCTCGTCCTCGCGTACTTGTCTTCAATTTCAATTTTCAATTTCAATAGTTTATTCCTTGATAGAGAAAGCGGGATCCTAGTGCTGTCACTAGGTACCCCTGTACAATAACACCAGAAGCATCTGGCAAGTGTCACAAGTATATACAGTATAAATATTATAAAAGGGGCTTACTAAAGCCTAAGGAAGGAAGGATATTCCTTTAACACATTATCAATATTATTTACATAGTAACTGGCCAGTATGGGGAGGATCATCGTGTCTCCGTCAGGGGGTCGTGGAGTGGTGGTCCAGCAGGCGTCACGGAAGCGTTGTGTGTGGGGACATCTTAGGAGGTAGTGGATAAGGGTGCGGCTGTCGGGTCTTCTGCATAATGCACAAGAGCGTTGCTCAGGGGATGCGGGGATACCAATCTCCCAAGCAAAGTCATACCCAATGATGATACGGGCAGCAATCACGTCCCTTTTCCGCGACCCTTTTCCATAGACATACGAGAGGTCAGGAAGTTTACGGAGGACATCGTACCAGGTGGGTGGGGAGTCCAGTGGGATGGCTGCTTCCCGGGCTTCTCTCTGTTTGCGGCGAATTTGGGTCATAAGCTGTAAAAGTGTTCGAGGAACAACGTAGTCAGGTGTGGCCTTGTTGTAGCCAGTCTTGGCAAGGCCATCTGCTGCCTCATTCCCCAAGATACCGACATGACTGGGTATCCATAGGAATGTCACAGGACGGCCTGCATCCTGAAGTGTGGATGTTAACCCTCGTATTCGGAGTACTTGTCTTCCACCTCCACCCAGCTTATTCAGCACTCCTACAGTATCTTGCTCCTCCCAAGGTCTTCACTCTGCACCCCAACTCTCGTCTCCAATTATTAATGCATCTGACGACCAAGTCTTCTTAGTCACTCTTGCTGTTTATACATAATTTTTTCTTGTCGTCTCCTTCCCCATGTACAATTCCAGCCGAGGTGTATAAAGCAGGAGGACCTCTGCTTACCAGCCATCTCCACTCTCTCCTGGAGAATATATGGGAAAAGGAGGAAATCCCCCAAGCTGTTCAAGATGCCTCCATTGTCAATATTTAGAAGAACAAGGGAGACCTGCTAGATTGTGGCAACTTCCGTGGGATCTCACTGCTGTCCGTAGCTGGCAAGATTATCGCCCGAGTCCTCCTCAACTTTAATCTGAGGCGAAAAACTTCCTCCCAGAATCTCAATGTGGCGTTAGACCATCGCATGGTACCACTGACATGATCTTTGCTGCCCGCCAAATACAGGAAAAGTGCAGAGAACAGTGTCACGGCCTGTACATGGCCTTCATCGACCTAACCAAAGCCTTCGACTCGGTCAACAGGGTAGCCCTCTGGAGGATCCTCAGCTGTTTTGACTGACCACCAAAATTCATCGCCATTGTGAGGCAACTCCACGATGGTATGAACGGCAGTGCCCTGCACAATGGCACCCAGTCTGAGTTCGTCCCCATCCAAACGGGGGTAAAACAAGGATGTGTACTGGCTCCAACTCTCTTTCCCATTTTCTTGGCTGCCTTCCTTACTCGTGCCAGTGCCAATTTAGCCGGCAAAAACAAAGGTGTCGGCAGCTTCCATTACCGAGCTTCAGTATGCAGACGACCTCACCCTTGTTGCTCACACTGAACACGACTTACAGGAGATCCTGAACACCTATGCAGACTCGTATGCACACTTCGGCCTTGAGGTGAATGTACGTAAGACTCAGATTCTCTTTCAACCTACCCCTGGTTCAGACACACCTCCACCATCCATCCAGCTTAACGGTACTACCCTCTCTAATGTTAACCACTTTCGGTATCTCGGTTCCCACCTGTCCACCACCTCAAACATCGATGAAGAGATTCATCATCGGATCAGATGTGCATCTCAAGCCATCGGGCGGACTCCGAAATCGTGTCTTTAACTGTAGGGAGCTAAAATAATACACAAAGCTGCACGTCCAGTATATCGAGCAGTGGTCCTGCCCACCCTACTATATGGCAGCGAGACATGGTTCACATTCAGGAGGCACCTCAAGGCACTTGAAAACTTTCATCAACGTAGTCTACGTTCCGTCCTCCGAGTTTACTGGGAAGACAAGAGGACAAATACCAGTATTCTTGCTGACACCAACTGTAGGAGCATCGAGGCTACCATTATCCATGAACAACTACGTTGGACTGGCCATGTTACCCGCATGGACGACAGTAGACTGCCAAAGCAGCTACTTTACAGTCACCTAACGAATAGTAAATGTAACGCCGACGGGCAATTGAAAAGGTATAAGGATAGTCTTAAGACAAACCTGAAAAGGTGCCAAATCGACCCCCTCACCTGGGAGTCGATTACTCTATTTCGTAACGCTTGGAGAAGCACCACACGAGAAGGTGTCAATACTTTCGAGTTAGCCGACTTCAAACCGAGGCAGACAAGCGCCAACGTCGGAAAGACGCTGCCACCGCCCTTCCCACAGTAGATGGAGCCCTCCAAATGTGCAACGAATGTGGACGACTGTCGGTCCCGTATCGACCTCTTTAGTCACCTCAAAACTCACTAATCTAGGTGACATTCCTAATAACTCATATCATTGTATCATAACTGGATGATCGTCATATTCGATTCCGAGTGACAACAACGTAGTAGTAGTAGTAGTAGAGTGTGTGTGTGTGTGTGTGTGTGTGTGTGTGTGTGTGTTATGGTAGCAGACACAACACAAGGGACTTGCGAAGGTAAACGTCGTGTTAGGTTGTATACACATTATTAATGGCAACGCCTTAACCACTCTGCCCCTCCCTCCCTCTTCATTTCCTTATGTTCTTTCTTCCTTCCCTTTTTGTCCCTGTTTCCTCCATCCGCTCTCCCCATGCCCTCCTATCCTCACTCCCTCCATGCCCTCTCTCCCATTCATCGTTCTCTCCCTCTCTCCTTGTCCCCGTTCCCTCCATACTTCCCCGCATGTCCTTGTTCACTTCCTCCACCCATGCCCATCTTCATACACACGAATAATTTGACAACTATTTTTTTCCCTACTTACAGAGTCGGGCAGGATGAGACTTGGTGTCCTTGTACTGACTGTGCTGTCGGCCACGGTAAGACTTACTTATACCTCTTATTCAGAAAGACTCTACACTTATATGGTCATAAACTACACTTATATGGTAATACACTACACTTATATGGCAATACACTACACTTATATGGTAATACACTATAAAGTCGGTGCCTCGGGTATCATGTATGTAGTCGGTGCCTCGGGTATCATGTATGTAGTCGGTGCCTCGGGTATCATGTATGTATAGTCGGTGCCTCGGGTATCATGTATATAGTCGGTGCCTCGGGTATCAATATAGTCGGTGCCTCGGGTATCATGTATATAGTCGGTGCCTCGGGTATCATGTATATAGTCGGTGCCTCGGGTATTCACAATCAAGCGTCGAGACTATTTAGTTACCGTAGACTATTTCAGACAATTTATTGAGGTTGACTCTTTACCTGCGTCTGACTCGGTGACTGTTGTTTACAAACTTAAAAATAATTTTGCTCGTCATGGCATACTTGTAACTCTGATCAGTGATAATGGACGGCAGTTCACATTGCAACACTTCCAGCAATTTACCCGAGCTTGGAACATCTCACATGAGACGTCAAGTCCAGGCAATAGTAAGGCTAATGGAGTTGCCGAAGAAGCTGTGAAGATTGTGAAGGGAATGATGAGGTGGTGCTTGAAGGTAAAAGAAGACATGTACCTAGGACTTCTGAACATCCGAAACACCCCACAAGTGGGACTGAAGACGAGTCCTGCACAACGACTAATAGGGTGGAGGATGCAGATGCTGGTGCCCACAAATGATACCCTACTGAAGCCTAAACAATGTTCTCTGGACGAAGAGAGATGGCTAATGCAGAACAAGAAGAGTACCGTGGCAGACACCAGGACCATTGATTGCTGAGACCGCTTTCAGTTGGAGAGGCGGTCGGGATGCAGCTCATTGACAACAAGACGCAAGAGTGGAAGGGGGCTACAGTCACCAAGAATATCAAAAGCAGAACCTATGAAGTCAAGACGGAAGAAGGCAAAAATTACAGAAGGTATCGGCAGTTTATACGACCCACAAGAATTAAAAGAGAAGACATTAAACCTACTATAGACAATAAACCTCAAAGATGCCTAGAACCTAAAATCCAGGAGGAGCTTGAGGGGAAACCAGTAGGATCTGAACATGGTGCAACTCCCATAGCAGAACACTCGAGTAGAAGGAAAATACAGGAATAAAATTGGACGTGAGGTGGCCGCCATTAGGAGACTAGACCTATAGCTTAATGGGACTTATCTACCTGCTCATGGTGACTCTGAGGTCTGATTTGAAAGCTTTAACTATGAAGGTTCTGTAAACTATATACTTAGCATTAAGTCTTTTATTATTGTGAGTGTGTTTTTGTAACAATCTACAAAATAACTACCTATGTTACTCGAAGGATGCCTTGACTTTAACCTTAAGGACGTACAGTAGCTAAAAAAAAAGTATCTGTGCATACTCAGTGTGAAACAATATGAGACCATCGACGATAAGTATTGGGATATGCGCGTTGTCTCCTTATATCATGTGATAGTACATGAAATCATAAAACCGTTTATTTTTTTCCTGAATGGCTGTGGGTGAAGACACGTATACCAACCCTCCCGAGACATCACGAGTTGTACGTATAATTTTGGAAGTCATCGGACCCACCCTGTCAGATACTTTTTTTAGCTACTGTTCATTAATACTGATGTAATGAAGTATAGAACACATTATTTTCTCATATTTATTATTGTCTTGCATTTCTTTTTTTATGTTTCTTTATTTGAAGTTTGTCAGTACATTCTTTAACTTGAGGGGAAGGATGTTACATGATGTAAGTTTAAATGTAGTGCGCTGCGCATCTCGATGTTCTTTCATTATTGTTTGTAGAGAGGCACATGGCCGCCAAGTAAACAGAAGGACTCTTCTCTCTGTTAGAATGTGTTTAGGCCTGTGTAATCACGAATGTGTTAGGCACGTTATACACAACAACAAAAATAAATGCCTTGAGTAAGATTCAGCATGTGGCTTCTCATTCTCCCATTAAATCATATAAGATACTACACTCTCCATGTATTATTATTATGTAACAACTCGTGATGTCCCGGGAGGGTTAGTCTGCGTGGCTCTGTGGTATACTGATCTTACTACATTTGGTAATCGAACATCAAATTAATTACGTCGAAATAAATACACACTGCATTACATATGATAAACTATATACCAAAGTAAATGCATGGCCCAATATCTGTCATCCGTGGTCTCAAAATGGTTCCCACAGTGTGGGCAGATAATTTTTTGAGATACTGTACATTGTACACCTGCACTGTTTATGTATACAATACATACACTACATTGTATACCTGCACTGTCTGTGGACATTGTATGCCTGCACTGTCTACATACATTATATACCTACACTGTCTACGTACTTACTGAAATCAATGTGACGATTTTACTGTATGAGTATCTATTTAACCATTACAGGTGAGAGCCAGTCTTCTTACTGGGTTAGAGCAAGGTGACCACGCCCACCATCATGGCCACGCCCTCCAGCACAGCGACCACTCCCATACACACAATGCTGGCAGCCACGTCCATGATGACCACACCCACACCCATGATTCCAGCGACCACGCCCACACTCAGGATGCCGATGACCACGCCCACACCCATGATACCAGCAACCACGCCCACATCCATGATGCTGGCAACCACGCCCACACCCACGATGCTCATGCCCACACACAAGCCACCGGCAAAGAAGCCATTCTTGCGTCTGCTCGAATCAACGAATTCTTCAATGCCTTCTTGCAGGATGACCAACAGGTTGTATTAAGATTACAGAGTGTAGGACCCAGAAAAAAAAAATTAAAGTTTTTATTTTTTTATAAAGTAATTAAATGCAGGAGGTGAGAATAAGGTGATTAAGAATTGGTTAACGACTTTATTCGTCGCGATAGACTAGGTTAAAGCGTCTCACACATATAATTTTAATCAGTAAGGAAAGTGATTGCTGAGATCAAGGAGAATATTTATTTATTTACCACAGTTTATTTATAATTCAACTGTATGATTACAATGTACAGTTGCCCACAGGTATAGTGTTCCAACCCTCGGTGATTTTTCCGAACATGTGGCAGGGTCAGATTTAGTGTACTGTACTTTATGAATGAATCAGTAACGCCAGGAGAGCAGATGCCATCAACTGCTCTCCTCATGTTGCCGATTCATTCTTAAAGTGGTTCCGACGTTGCCACTTGTTCGAAAAGGCCACCGAGCTGTAGAACACTATACTTGTGCCCTGTGGGCAACTGTACAATAGGCTGTAATAATCTGGGTAATAACATGCACAGTCACTGAAAAAATTATCAATACAAAATTGGGTTGAGGAAATATGTCACAACTTACGAAGGATTTTGACAAACCCAACTGAGACATCTGGAGTCATTTTTACTTTTACTTTTATTCTCTTCGCCACTGATCGGCTCGTTAGCCGCTTGCGCGGTCGGTCACGTCTCTGTTACGCACTGTCGGCAAGTACTGGACATGCACCGGCTCCTGAATGTATCTGAGCCTGCTCTAGTGCTGGTTAAATCTTGAGTTGAAACAGCTCACACTCGGTGCCGTCACACACTCTGGCAGGTTGTTTCAAGAGTTCACAACTCTCAATCCGAAAAAGTTCGCCCACACAGTTTAACTGAACTTGCGGCTTCTTCAACCTTAACTGTGACCCCTTGTGGGGCGGGCGTCCGCCAGCTCCATGTATGGACACTCGACTGAGTCGTGCCCTTTGAAATGTTTACACACCTCAATTAGGTCACCCCTTGCCTGTCTGTAGTATAAGCAGGTGTTCTAATCTCTCTGGGTAGTATAAGCTAGGCAAGTATAGGTGCTCCAATCTCTCAGGGTAGCTGAGGTGCCGAAGTGCAGGCATCAGTCTGGTGGCCCTCCTTTGACACTTTCAATCTACTGACAGTACCTAGCTTATCTCGGGGACCAGACGGGGTGACAGTACTCCAGGAGGGGAAGGACCTCACCCCCTTAAGATCGTTACGAGGGATGGACCGTCTAGATATCTGAACGACCTTCTTATAAGACCGAATAATTTGGTTGCTTGATTCACCTCCTTATCACACCCAGGTCCTTTTCGCATTAAGTTTCTAATAGTGCAATTTTTCGTCCCGTGGGACATATGATACGCCTCCTTACCGTTGGTGCGTCCCATGTGCATCCTCTTACACTTCGTGCATTGAATTTTAGCAGCCATTTTTTCGACCATTCTTGAAGCTCATAGAGATCTTTCTGCAGCTCTTCACAGTCTGTTTGGTTCTTAATTTTCCTAAATAACTTGGCATCGTCCGCAAACATTTGTATGGAGGAGTGTATAGCTTGTGCCACGTCATTTCTGAAACAAACAACAACGAGCCCAATACACTGTCCTGTGGTACCCCGCTTGTCACGGGTACACATTACGATTTCGTACCATTAATCACCACACACTCCTTGCGATCATACAGAAAGTCTCTGATCCACGCTCGGAAACTCCCCCGAATCCCGTACCCTTCCAGATTAATTTTCAGCCTTTCATGGGGTATGCTGTCGAAAGTCTTGGCAAAATCCAGGTATATATTGTCGATATTGCCACCCTGTTCCAGAATTTGCGTCCAAACATCCAGTACCTTGAGTAATTGTGCTAAACAGGAGTATTCCGGCGTAAAACCGTGTTGGCAATCCTTTACAAGGTTGTTTCGTTGTAGATGTTCTCTTATAATGCTTTCAAGTGCTTTACATACTATGCTGGTCTGGCTCACAGGTCTATAATATTATTCGTGGAGTGTGGATCGCCTTTCTTGAAAATAGGACTCACATAAGCTATTTCCAATCACTGGGGACCTTTTGCTCACAGTGTTCATTCCGAAATTTATCGACCCTCCCCCCACCCCCAAGAACAGATAGTTTTCTTTTAATGACTGTAAAATAGGCTGTAATAGTCTGGATACTGCCTCCTATAATTAGTTGTGATAGCCTCGGTTTAAGTTCTTGCTTGTACTTGATATAAAGTTTTTCTGTAATTATTGAAATGTTACTTTTTAGTGCAGAAAATAGTATCAAGCACAAAAAATAACGAATTTCAATTAACATAAAATCACGTTAAATGTGTACTTAGGTTGTTGTGTCAGGCCATCCAGTACGAGCTGTGACACTGTCATTAAATTAATAATGAAATTACAAAATAATTAAGCTAATCTTACCCAACGATCTTGTTATCCTGGAAGCAGTTGCAACACGTCAGTTAGGTTTGGTTTATTTAATTCGTGTTATGTGCCATCAATGATGTAATGTCACAGATAGAGTGCATATTTAACGTAATTATTTTTATTAAAGAAGGTTATTTTAATTTTAATTTTAATAATTTAAATTATACATAAATAAGTGGATGGGGAAAGAGATATAATTAATTAGGGGGTCGCCTGAAGATTCTCCACACCACTTTACTGTATTTCACCTAAAGATTAACCACCCTAATGCTATTAATTATGGAAATGAGATCAGGTTAGGTTAACGCAGTACAGAGCCAGGGGACAGCGGGACACCCGGGGTGGGTAATTACAAAACAGGATCTTCAGGGGCTCGACAAGCTCGTTGAACAACTCTCTTAGTACTCTAGGATGCACCATGCCAGGGCCGGGACTCTTATGGACCTTTAGCTTTGACAGTTTATTTCTAATACCCTCTTCTGTGAACACAATGTGGGTCAGTGCTGTGTCGAACCGTCTGTCCTCAAACGCAGGAAGGTTAATCGCATCCTCTCTTGTGAACACCGAGGAAAAGAAGCTGCTCAATGCCTCGGCTCTATCCTGGTCAGAATCTGCGTAACTACCATTTTCAAGTCTCAGGTCTGATACTCCTACTCGCGTTTTTAATTTCGACTTTGCATAGGGGTAAAACGCCTTTGGGTTTGACTTGACCTCGCTTGCAACCAGCCTCTAGAACTCCTTTTCAGCCCTCCTACACTCTATCTTTGCTTGGTTTCTGGCTCTTGCATACAACCTCCTGTCCTGCTAATCTTTTGACCAAACCCACGTCTTGAATTTCTGGGTTTTCTTCTTAACTTTGTCGACCGCCGCATGGTTCATGTGTAGGGATCCCCTCGTATTCCTAGAGGCACTGGGTTTGGTCTTGGGTATAGATTTATCGATCAATTGGGTCTCTTTACTAGTTATGATATTCAGCGTAGTGTCTGCGTTCTTGTACCTTAATAAGTCAGGCCAGTTGATACCTCTCATCTCTTCCCTCATCCCAGTGTAATTTCCCTTGTAATATTTGCACCTTGGCCTGGCCTTATCCTGAACTAGGTAACAGTTAAATCTGAATGACAACACTATATGGTGACTGGTGCCAACTGGGGCAAGGTGTTCCAGTTTGGCCACCATACCCTCCTCGTTTGTCATGATGAGGTCAAGTGGCTTGGGTGTTTGCTCCCCTCTGTAATGTGTCGGATCTATAGCATGTTGGAACAGAAAATTATCTCTCGGAGTTTCTACAAAAAGAGTAGCAGGGTTATTCAAGTCATTTGGGGTGAACTCGTTTCTCCAGTCGATGTCGCCATAGTTAAAGTCCCCCATGATAAGGAGGTGGCTAGGGTTGAGCATCGCCGCATTGTTTATTAAGGTTCTTAAGTTCCTTTGATTTAGTGGGCCACAGTTTGGGGATCTGTAGATACACCTGGCGATAAGTAAGTCCCCTCCCTTTAATTTAATTTTACACCACTTGGACTCTTCAAAAACATCCTCTCCCTGTACCCTCGCCTGGCTGGCTCGAAGGTCTTGCCTAGCATAGATAACCACACCCCTCTTGCGGGTTTCTTGAAAAAAGGTTCGTAAATGAGTCATATCCAGCAATACTGAACTCACATTCCTCTGGGTCGATTCTCCTGTACCTGTACAACAGTTCGACAACTCCCACAATAACTGGTTGGTATACTTTCAGTAGTGTTTCAAACTCCTCTATCTTATCAAGAAACATGTCAGTATTAGTTTACATGACATTCAAGTCAGAATTTGTTCTCGGTAACGTCTCTGCTCTTAGTAGTAACCCCGCACCCCCTTGTGTCGGCACACTTGCTCCTACCCCCCCTGAATATAACCCATGTACACCCGTCCCCGTTCCTCCTGACTCCTCCCTGTGTTGTTCCCTCTGCATTACCGTGCGATCTGGGTGAATGAATACACCCTGAGATGCCTCGCTCCTTGCTAAGTTTTCTGTTTGCCAAATAACCTGCCATTTCTCCTTCTCGCTCATTAGTGTGATCCTGAGGGGGCGAGGCTTATCCCCCTGCTTTTGTCCCAGCCTCCTCACATCCTGTGGGGTTGATGGCATCTTCAGAACCTCTGTACAAATATTCTGAAACTGCATCTTATCGTGTATTACCTACAGTAACTTTCAGTTCCCTCCGCCTGGCTCTCGGGGACTCCAAAAACTATTATATTGTTCCTGCGCTGGAAACGTTCCCGTTGTTCCTCCTCTCCCCTAACAGTAGGTCCGTTAATTTTCATTTCTTCGACACACTTCTTTATTGTCCCTAGCTGCTGTAGAACCTGTTCGTATCCTGCATTACTCTCCGCCACCACCCGTGGCCCTGCTAATGCCTCAGCATAACTCCTCTTAGCAACCACCTCCATTGAATTGGCTACTTCCTCAGTCTTAGCAAGGATCTCTTTCCTTACTTGCTCTAGTTTGGTAACCAGCAGGGCTCCAGCTTCGTCTATTTTCGACCCTCGGGAGCTCGTTCCCTTATGGCTTGCAATCGCCTCTTTCACCTTGAC